AGAAAACTGGGAAAGTTCCTGAGGGGCTAATGGCCTGAAGACCTCAGGGAGACTGAGACTCTCTGGACGGGAAGGTAGGCTCCACTGGTGGCACCTGGGACCCTCAGGCACCAGACGCTCGGTGGGAAGTTCGGCACACCTCTGAGTGATCCTCCTACCTTGAGACAGCAAGGTAACCCTATAAAATCCGACCCCTGGCCCCCCATATGTGGGCACAGTCTCTGCTCTGGCAGAAAGACTGTGTGACCCTTCAGGTGTATCTATAAAGGGACAATTCTGTCTCTGGTGACATCTAGCTGTTTTATTTCCAAGTTGCCTCCATCAATCTTGAGCTAATAGCCAGTCCCCCATCTCTCATTAGTGGGCTGGGTCAGGTCTTACCAGTAACAAGGGCCATGCCTCTTCCAGTCCATCTCAGGCTCTCCAGGGTGAGCAAGGCCAGGCTGGCAGCATTCTTCACCTGGCTCTGACTTCGACATCGAGGATGGCACTTCAGTTACTCTACATGTCAAATTACAAATGACATGTAATTTTCAAATGGCGCCCAACGTGTTGGCAAGAGTTTCCACCTAAAACCTGAGAAAAAAGATTCTAAAACGGAGCTAAAAACAGTTCCTAGTTGTTTCTCTCAAGTTAGTGGCAGCCTGTGTGTTTGAGCTACCATGGCGGGTTTCTGGCGTCTGCGCTCGACCTGCAATTTGGTCAGAATGAGGCACATTAAGTGCAAGTGGCACATTAAGCTGCGTGGTGGATTTAGCCTTTGTTAGTACAAAACAAAAAAAAGAGGTTTCTGGGCTACATGCTGCTTTGACCCACTATTTCTGAGAGTTGATGGCTCCCAGAGCTGGCGGAAAACATACCACCGCCATGTTGGGAAGCTGAAGTGGGCGGAGCCAGCAGCCACAGTGCCGGTTCAGTCTTAGAATGCTGCAGTTTAAAGCAATAGGTTCAAGGTAATATACAAAATAAGCCATGTAAAGATGGCTACCACACAGAGAATCTGGATTATGTTCTCTTTGATATTTGTAACTGAAGAAAAACATTTGATTGCAAAAGCTGTTGAGTCATGCCAAAATGTATATTTTAAAGGTAACAACTTCAAAATTTGGATTTAAGGATATGTTGCTTTGGAAAGGAGGCTCTGCTTTTGTTTCTACAGAAAGCCAGAGGCTA